GAAATGGGGCAGACATCCTCAAAATGGGCGGCCCGTACTCGAATGGGCTGTGCTTGCTACAGAATTTTATAAGCCGTACCTGAGCGACTCCAAAGATCAGTAAAAGCAGTGGAGAAAAGAAACATATGGCGAAAGTGGTGCGTCTGTGGTGTGTAGAGATCCGCCCACACTGGGCTGAGGGTGCCCTCAAGCACGAGCTGCCTGTTTTTACTGAGCTTCAGAGCGTCGGCAGCCATACACTTAACCACCGGTCGTCGTAGGTACATTCGATACCAGTCGGCTCGCCAACTGCCACCGGCGCGCCTAATCTGCGATGCAGAACGGCCTTGCTGGGCGGTCGTGGCTACCTCCTTTGGCACGGTACTCGCCGACTGATACTCGGCTTTCGTCTCATTTCTGCACTTCATCAACGCTCCTCTACACACAGTCCCATGTACAGTAACAGTGTTGAAAGTGGAAAGTATGATATTATTGGTAAAGCAGCGTTAGTCATCTGTTCAGATAAAAGAAAAGCCGGAATCAGTGGGGTATACAGAATCTCTCGATGGCGCTCGTCCAGAAGGCTGTGGCGGAGTATAATGATAGCATACCATATGCTCTTGAATGTGGTGGTGGAAGTGTCCAGTCAGAATTTAATAATGTGTAACTTACAGCGCCTTGAAAGTCAAGGAAGAAAAGTGTCTTTCCCCCTGTATAATAATTTCCGCACCAGTGATTATATTAATAATATTCTTTACACAAAGGAATTTGTGCTTCATTATCAATGAGTACGTGTTAGATTGACAAAAGAGGGATTGGCAGTATGTTATGCCCATTTCATTAAGTTCATTAGGTGGAATTTTTTGCAAATAATGCCATAGTTATTATTTGCCTTGTCAAGAGGACAAAAAATGCATTTGTACTGATATTGCTTCATTAAGTTGCAAGGTATGCGTTCTCCTATATTATCAGTATTGGCATTTTTCAGAAAAGGTTTAACTTTGTCATGGTAAGATGAACGAAAATGTTTCTGTGTTAGATTAACTTTGTGATTGCTAGCTTTCTATTTACATATGAAATAATTCATGACATTGATGAGTGTATCTTCAAACACCACCTTATCTTCTTGTCTTGTTATGCCTGTGACTGTTCTATATTTAGTCGCTTTGCTTAGCAACTTTCTGGCTTTCTTCTTTTAAGATTTGTATTTCCTGTGATAACGTGACAATAGTCTTTATCCACATATTCTTGTACTGTATTTGTAGTAAATATACAATCGTTGTTGAGTATCTGCTTCAATTTTCCATTGCCGGGATCTTCCAACACTTTGTTGTAAACGCAAACTCTGTTAGCTATTGTGTGAAATGAAGGATATTTCAGTAAATACTCTGCTTTCGAGACTGGTCGTAAACTAGAGCCAATGAGGAAGCAACAAAAAAAACAGTCTGAAAGCAGAGAGGTATGAGGAGACGTCAGTCGACGCAAGAGGACCGTTGGCCCCTAAAACAGCTTGCGGTCTGTAAATACCATCCGAGCTGCGCTCTTAATGCATAAAACTCTGATGCTATCTACGTAATGCCGTGTTCGCCTCTTTGAAAAATTTTTACGCCCGCGCCTGTTTGATTCGTATTTTATAGGCCCTGTTTAAGTATCCGCGCCGCGAGGTATCAGAGGGCTCAACCGAAGTTTGTCCGTCGCAAAACGATATCAGGATCACCCACTACTGATCAATGACTGACATTATCGAATAGCAATAAAAGAACGCCCCTTCGACTACAATAGTTTTTTTCTTTTTCATGGCTGCAAGTAGGAAAGAGGGGAACTAGGGGAACCTCAGAGAAGACTAATGGACTTAGCATCCAAGTAGGGCGCCCTGCTTGTATCTACAAAGCTCCCTGGAGCACAGCTGGATCTACAGCAAGGTTATTCATATGATGGAATACTGCAACCAAATGAAAAGAGGCAATACTTTGCGAAAGTGCTGGATGAGAAATGATGCGATCTACGATTCGAGTGACATCCCAGACGACAAGGGGAGGGACTAAACAATTTCTACATGCATTTACTAGTAATTAGCACATTAATAAAGACTGACCAAAGCCGGAGGAAAGAAAGCAGGGGATAGTTTGCTTTGATGTGACTGTTATTTACAGCAATAAGAGCACTTCGATATCCTGACGCTAATTGATGTGACTGTTATTTACAGCAATAAGAGCACTTCGATCTCTGACGCTAGGGGGACAGCGCTTCCACATGCGCTGTACTTCCTTGCTGAGCGTGGATGGAGATGTTGGCGTTGAATAAATATAGCCACATGCGGTAGTTCAAAAGATCCAGCCGCATCAATTTAATAAAGGAGGTGGCCACTATTTGAAACAGCGAATTAGCGAACGAACTGATTTCGATCATCTGTTCGGAATGCTTCATCGAATGTTGGTATGTTTCTAGTAACGATGGTCATCGTATGATCTACCACTTGTTGGGTCCCAGGATAAATAATGCATCATTCGCAGCCACATTTGAAAAAATTCGTGAAACGGTTCCAGAGCACTCCAGGCACAAGAAAAAAGTAGTTTAAGATCAGCGAGGGGCATCGGTTTATAAGTGTGATGCAAACCCGCTGTGGGCGAAGGCGTGCGGAGGAGGGCGAGGGAGGCCGCTCTTAGAAATTCTTCAAGCGGTTCCAGAGCACTCCACTCACTCCAGACCTCCTGTGTGATACGGCTCGGCTTTGCGGGGCGTGGCTTCGTCGCGCCTAACTGCATTCGTATGATCAGCTGCTCGACTAATACCCGGCTTTTCTCTCATCTGTCCACTAGATCAACGCTCCTTATCAGCATTCCACGCAACGTAATAGTGTTGAAAATAGCAGGCATGATGTGGAATATGAGCATGCTAGGTCAAAGAATGTTGACCATCTGCTCAAATAAAAGAAAAGCCGGATATTGGGTATGTATTGAAATGTTTGGCAGAAGATAAGAGCGGCGGAGCCTCGTCCGCTCGGCGAAACCGTTCTGAATCTTAGAAAATGGCGCGTCGGCTGGTAAATTAGAGCGCCCTATTGAAAACGATTCGAACAGGCGCGCGCGGGAAGTTTTTTCAAAAAGGCGACCGCGGCATGATTTAGATAGCGTCATAAACTCTACAGAAGCACCGTTAAGTAGAACGCGGTTAGATTCCGCACCCGACTGTTCCACGCGCGCGCAAATTTGAATTCAAACTGCATTTGAATTATCTTCCCGCGCGCGCAAATTTGAACACAAAACAGCATTTCCTTATGGTTTTCTCTCGTGTAGCGGTGAGGACGTATTACGAAGCTGTTTTTTCATTGTCCTGCTGCTATTCGCTATTCTGCTGCCCTTTGCGCCCAGAACACCAAAACTCCTGGTGAATCTTCCTGGCCTTCTACAAGTGTGTTCTTCAGCCGCCCATTGGGTCGCTATTCACTATTGTGGTATTTTTTTCTGTGGAATCTTCACTGTTATGCAGGTAAGACATTACTGCGCCGTTGGTTTTTGAACAGTTTCTCTTCTGCATGCAAAGCTTCCTTTAGTTGTTTTTTCCTAGCATTCTCTTTTGACGAAATAATATTTCCACTGTTCATTTAGTGTCAGAATTCGTGCTTATTTTTCTGAAATAGTCATTTCTCTTTCCAGTTTCGTTCAAGTTACATCACTGTATCTGCCTTATGTTGCTCGCGGAAGAGGACTCATATAGTCAGGTTTCTTTCGTGCGTTCCATGGGTTGTCGCGAGGAACTGCGACGCGAACCCCTTGTGAAGTCTCGAGATAGCCTGAAAAGGTGCCTGAAGCCTCAGGATATCTGTCCACCGCTAAGCCTCCCTCGAGTTTCCGTTTTCCTTTCTCCTTCCTGCTTTTCCATTCACCCTTCCTTCATCCCTCTTCTCACCTCACTTGCTTATTTCCTCCTTCCAAATGTTCGACCAGACGATGCGATGACAAAATACCTCTGGACTCTTGCAGGCGAGAGAACATCCGGTTGATAGACTAGGAATGCTCAAGAGAAATTTCTATTCACATCTCAGAGCAGTTCATCACAAGCTTGCAGAAGAGGTGCTGAGAATCCGCGAAGAGATTAGTAGGGAACCAGGTTTCGCTAGGGTAACTCGCCCATTATGCGACGAGGACTTCACTACTCACTAAGGGCTGGCGCTTCGTCTGGAGCATCTTCTGATTGAACATTAAGAGGGAGTAAATGAGTATGAGGTGAAAGGAGGAATAAAGGAAGGGTGAATGGAAAAGCAGGAAGGAGAAAGGAAAACGAAAAGTTGAGGGAGGTTCACCGGTGGACCGATATTCTGAGGCCTCAGGCAACTTTTCAGGTTATCTCGAGACTTCACAAGGGGTTCGCGTAGCAGTTCCTCGCGACAACCCATGGAAAGCACGAAAGAAACCTGACTATATGAGTCCTCTTCCGCGAGCAATATAAGGCAGATACCGTGATGTAACTTGAACGAAATTGGAAAGATGAATGAGCATTTCAGAAATAAGCACACTTTTGACGCTAAATGAACAGTGGAAATATTATTTCGTCGAAAGAGAATGCCGGGAAGAAACGACTAAAGGAAGCTTTGCATGCAGAAGAGAAACTGTCTAAAAATCAACAGCGCAGTAATGATCACGTCTTGCCTGCAGAACAGTGAAGATTTCACAGTAAAACTACCACAATAGTGAATAGCGATCCAATGGCCGGCTGAAGAACACACTTGTAGAAGGCCAGGAAGTATTCACCAGCAGTGTTGGTGTTCTGGACGCAAAGGGCAGCAGAATAACAGAAGGAAAATGAAAAAAACAGCTTCGTGAATACGCTCTCACCGCTACATGAGAGAAAACCATCAGAAATACTGTTTTGTGTTCAAATTTGCGCGCGCGCGAAGATAATTCAAATGCAGTTTGAATTCAAATTTGCGCGCGCGTGGCAACGGTCGGGTGCGGAATCCAACCGCGTTCCGTTAAGTACACAATTGCACGGCGTGATTGTTGGTATTTACAGCTGAAATCCTACCGTACCTTCCACCAATTTTTGCTATCGTCGATCAGACGGAGTCGTTCGTTCTTTCTTATGGTGAGCTCCTGATCTTCTTGAGCAATATAGTCGTACTTGACAATAACGTACGACACATCCTCGGACATCACGTCAACTGATGTTCGAAGTGCCGATGATGACGAACAACTGAAACGTGAAAAAAAACGAGTCGCGTAACGAGCATTCACTCAAAAACCATGGAATAAAATAAAGACAACAGCGGACGAGGATTCGTGGAAGCACATCACGTACAGGCGCGTGAATCGGGTCTTTCAAAAGCTGCCTCAGTTACTGGATCGAGCGCAACGCGATCACAAAGTCATGGAACTTCAACAAAGTGCGACTACAATAATTTCGTTCGCCCCACGGCCGCGTTCATTGCTTGCGACCGTGAAGGAGTGCAGAAATGCGGAATCTGCAGAATACGAATAGAATTACGAATAGGTTTTCCGCAATCCGTCATTTCTGCATTTCCGTAGATTCCGCATTTCGCTTTTCTTCAAATCGATACGTATTTAATGCTTTCGTCATTTCTGCAGATTCCACATTTCTGCATTTCTTCACGGTCGCAAGCTATGAACGCGCCTAAGGACTTCAGAAGCCAGAAGTTCTTCTCGAAAATTTCTGCAAAAAGACAGGGAAGTTAAAATTAGTGGGATAGCTCAGATAACTGACTGTGCACGAATGTCTAAACGAGAAAATTGAAACAATCAAGACCCGATATAACGCGAGTGTTAGTGGTCCTACGCAGCGCGTTATGAAACCGTTGGCCAACGGCTACACACTTATAGCGTTGTTATGCCGCATTGATCGCAGAACATAGTAATTCCGATGATCGAACTAACCACACCTGTTTGCACCAACTTTAAAGTGTCGCACCTCCCTCCAAGTAGTCTGCTGTTCAATCAATATGCCGTGGTCACATTTATTCCCGTCGGTGAGTGAAGGGCGCGAAAACTGTGGGAGTAAATGTGGACTGGCGCCTATGTTCGGATGAAACGTGGTCAGAGCATACCTGATATGGCTGTAGTAGACAGTGCGGTAACTTCAGTAGGCGAGCAGCCAAGCAAAGAAGCCGTAAATAATCCGGGTACACATCAAACACAGCAGCTTACGACAACGGCGTCGAAAATGCCGGTCGCATATTCCTACAATATCTGCGCAGCACGTGTCGCGCGCGGCGCTCTTGGCATTTTGCCAATTATCGGTGGTTCACGCTCTCCATTAGCGATTACAGCGGGAACCTCGCGAGCAGCAAGCCTTTTTTTGATTTCCATGCGCCTCGAGCGCTATATCAGATGGGCATAAAATGAGAAGTAGTTGACCTATTTTAGAGTTCCATGATCCCCTCACAAGCGCCATTTGAACGAGAACGACAAGGAAGCATTTGCAGACAGTAATTCAATAATAAGTAACACATGAACATTATGCAGCGAGGGCGTCACGCAGTGGCACGAGAACACGTCTGGGTACTATTCAATATGACTACCCTGAGACTCGAAAAAAAAACTGGTGATCGTTTATGTTACTCGGTTTATGTTACCCTGACCAAGAGTATCACACTCGTTCGTAACGCTGGGGCCGGCAGCTTACAAATCAAAATCATTGTATACATACTGGGGTTATACGGTGCCACAGAGATTTCGGAGTCCGTGTGAACAATTTGACATCTAATCCTTCTTATGTGGCGAGAGAGCAAGTTTCCTCCAGCTGTCGGTACTCTATCGCTCTCTCTCTCACTCTCTCTCNCTCTCTCTACTTCTCTATCTCCTATCTCATCCATATTCTCTCTCTCACACTCGGAACTACTACTCGATAATCGCTGGTTTATTTTTTAGAATTACTGGTGACTCACCAGTAGATTGTAGTTGTACTACAGTGAATTACTAGTGATCTTTGGGAGATCAAAGAAAGGGTAACAGCATTCCAGGTCAATTCCTAGGTCACAAGGGCATTCTCACACTTTTTATTTCCTTGTTTTCCCGTACATAAGTCGGGATCTTCTGCATGAACGAAAACATGCCCACCCGAATCTTTCGTGCAGAAAACTGAGTGTTCTCCATCGACCCGAGTTCATCGTGAACTTGCAAAACATTTTTTTAGCCCCTTCCTGGACAGCTCAGAAGTTCGCAGCGGAAAAAACTAGTTTTTGAGTTGCCCCTCTTTTGTGTTCACATGGTTATGTACGTGGAGCTTTTCGAAAAACCGTGATGTTTTCCCTCCCTTCATTATGGTCAAGTATTACACTGTCTTCGGTGTAGAAGTCTGCTAATATCCAATGCTATCTTGATTTTCTATTGAATAGCTTAGTCTTCACCGCTTTCCTCGATATCACCCTGCTAACGTTCAAGGCAGGCCGACGGTTCTTCAAGTTGGTGAGTCACTCTGCGTACCTGACCGTAGCGTGCTCTCCCGTCTGGTGCCTGGCCTCGAGAGCGAGATGCAGAGAAAAAAAACGGATTAGTTGTCCTAAGACGCGTGTGAACGGCTGTTACCGTAACCCTGACTTCACTGGAGCGCGAGGCGGCATTAGAGCATGATTCGAACCTCCAAGCCAGTAACTTCCAGTGGTCGAAAGGAGATCAATTAATTGCATCATGGCATTTCTGAATTGATTTTCATCTAGAACGGTAGTAAACTTCAGCGGATGAGAACTATAGTACTCTTAGTATCCTAGAAAAGTATTCATTAGGATGATGATGAGTTTTTGTACCTTAGAATATGAGCAGTGCAAGTCTCCTAGAATTAATTTTCATCAAAGATGATTCGAAACCAGTGCGAAATAGAATATTGACACTCCAAGCGTCCTGGAGGTGAACTAGAATAACATAATGTACTGAGTTCTGTGAGCCGCGCCGGACGGCGCGGCGCTTCAATGTTTTTGTATGACTCACGCGAGCTTTTCAGGGCGTGGCGCGCCTGCAGCAGGACGATGCGAGGAGTCGACCGTCTGCCAGGTCCGGAACCTGCAGCCCGTTCCTGCCAGTTTCCCTCAGGGCGATGCCCCCGTTACCAAGAACACGAGATCTCTATTGGTACCTCTTTTGCCTTATACCGTAGCCTTGTATCGTTTCGTGTGCCTTTTGTAGTCCCATTTGTTGCCTGTCACCTATTCCATATCCTTTATCTTCTTTAGTATCTTTGGAAATAAAGTGTATTAACCTTGCACCTAGAGTGTCACAGAAGTAGGTGATTTGCACCTTCCTGCGGGGCGCTAGCTGACTGGTAGCAGCGAGTGGTTCACCCTCGCTAAGGTAAGTGTAGATCAGGTAAGTTACCTTGTGTCTAGCTTGGTTGAGCCATCGCTGGAATAGTCACTCGCGTCTGGAGGACAGCCGGCTGACCAGCACTCGGAGAACTTCGCTCTCTCGGTCGTCTCCAGACATGGATCACCGTGTTTTCTTAGAAAACCCCGTTCAGGGCAGGTCTTTTTCTCTCTGCTCTCGTTTTCTTCTGTTCGTAGTATACGGTAACCCTTGTCTATGCGATTACTTCCTTTTTAGATATGAGCTCTACCCGTGAGCTCATATCCCGTGAGCTCATACGTGGGTATAAACCGTCAATCGCTTTCGGAAATGCCGAGGATCCTATGAGAAAATGTGTCTTGATACAGTTCGTCCCATGTTTAGGAGTCGTGTAGCCGCTGAGTTTATGACTGGTGCACCAGAGATGTGATGGAAGTTGTCGAGGCCGCCGCAGTCGTTAAGGATGTAGAGGGACGTTAAACTTAGCCTGTTGTGATCCACCGGTGGGAAAATGAGAGAATTCTGGAAGGTATCCGCGGATGTATATAAACCGGTTGAGCTTCGAGTTTCTCGGGAAAAAATTTTCAAAAAAAGGTGAAAAAACGTCGCTGGACGCTTCAAAAAATGTTTGTCTTTATAGGTCTTGAATCGTTATTTCTTGCTTTTTCTGCTGAGGCCCGATGGGCCTGTTACCAAGAACAATTATGGGCGAGCTATTGCCGTTGAGCCCTGTGAGCTACGCTCTCTTCAAGGCCAAAACCCCGTTGGATTATGGTCATGGAAGCCCCCCAGTTCCACTTCTTCGCAGGAAACTGGAGGGCCCCCAGCTTTCCTTTGCCAGCGTCGTGAATGGAACCATGCACGGCGTTTGCAAAGTTTTTCTGCAGTGGAGGGTTCCAACCTTCGACCCTTCTACAAGGAGCGCTTGTCGTAGCGGCGAGCACTCCCTCTGAGCCATCCGGCCGGTGCTACAAGTAGGTGAGCGGCGGACCAAATAATAACGGGAGAGCGCAGTTGATCGCAGTATATGCCCGCAATGGAGCAGTTGACGCGTATTAACAGGTTTTTACCCCGTTATTCTTCTCCACAGGACGGACCTTCTGGTCCATGCGTGAAACATATGTCTGGAGTAAACTATCTTGCCGGCATGTCTTTATGTCTGGTGAGTTTCTGTGGGCGAGTCTCGTCAACACTTATCAGCCCAATTGAAGGAGACCAGAAGAACGCCACTCAAAATTCGAGTGTGCTCCTCTGGCAGTCGGCGGACTGTTTCAACTGATTAAACTATCCTGCCTAGCGGACTATTACCGAGGCAGATAAGTAATCATCGAACGAACAATTCTTCGACTTTCTTCTTGACGCTGTCCTTCCTTTTGCGGTTCGAATTCAAATTTTGCTCTCTAGCCTTGCGTAGCATGCACTTTCATGCTTCTTTGTGTAGTTTTGCTTGGTAGCACATTTAAATCGCAACAATTTGCCAAACAGTTCTCCTAGGCATTCATTCCGCAGCTTCTTTGTGCTCTATCACAGTTGAATAACCACATGGGCGATCAAAGACGTGACAATTATCAAGCAGGAGAACTTTGAAGCATTCCTTTTTTCCGTTTACAAGGATAAACAACTTGTCAACAGCAGATTTCCCATGCGCGGCGGCTGGATATTAGCATTTGCCGATGGAACTTACACGGGATAGCGGATTACGGTACCGCGCCGCCTCATTGGAAGGCCCCGAACACCGATCGCGGATGGAAGTATTCATTAGCATTCGAGTTCTTGGGTGCTACGCTCGTCTGATCCGGCTCTCGTCTCTCGTATTCTGGTATTCGAATGGGTCCTTCTGTGACACGGTCACGGGCCCATTCTGCTGATTCTTCTAGGGCGGGTGCCCTGTCTTCAAGAACAACTACGGAGGTGTCTGCTGCAGATAAACTCGCTGATGTCCTATCAGACATGGATGATAGGGCTACGATCCATGCGGAAGCGAGAACACTTCGTGGTGCCACCGTACTCGCCATAGCGGAGGTACGAAGCGACTCAGTGGCAGAAACAACGCGACTGACGCATATGATCAATAAACGTAATACTAATCTACTTTCTGATTTGAATACTTCTTTTGCTGCAGTAGGTGAGCACATTAATTCTCTGCCCATTGTTGCATCGGTAAGCCTGGATGGGCCGTTACCAAGAATAGTACCATTCTGTGGATCAGGTGAGGATCCCATGCAATTCTCTCTGTGGCTTCGCCGCCTTGAGGATGTCATGCGGATGCGCTCCACTTCGTGGACGCCAAAAAGCGTACTTTCTTACAGGGTACCTCGATGGTGCAGCGCGAGAGAAGGTGAAGGAACTCTCCACAGGAACGCGAGGACTACGCCACGATCGTAGCCCACCTGAAGAAGTACTTCGAGAGACCGCAACAGCGGCACATGGCCCGTCAAAGTTTGGCCGCTTGCCAACAGCAAACAAGTGAGTCGTCAGCTACTTTTGCTAATCGACTCCTTCTTTTAGTGAGAGCAGCTAGCGCTGGACAGGACACGTCCAGCCAGCGAGAACGCGTGCTGTAAGAATTCGTCGCGAGACTTCGCCCCGACATCAGGTACTACGTGAAGCTCAATAACCCAGCGACTTTCGAGCACGTGGCCAAGGCTCAGATGGTGGAGCAGTTACTCGCTGAAGCGACAGCGGATCGTATCGTCTAAACAGACCCTCCAGTTTGCAGCAGCCGATTGAGTTATAGACTGCCGGTCCGAGACGGCAGCCCAGGGAGTTTCAGTATCAACAGCAGCCCCGGTTTTCAAATAATCGCGATTCAGTTAGAACATTTCAGCGATCTGGAGAAGGAGGACTCACTCGTCCGGGTCAACAGCGGACGTAGTCAACATGCTACAATTGTGGAGGGGTTGGACGCTTCTCTCGCTCCTGCCCATCGCCACGCGACCCGCGGCGAAGTACAGGTACATCTAACTTCCGTAGTCGTTCTTGTGATCGCTCCTTTCCAGCTTCGTCGCCTCGTTTTTCTAATCCTGCTCCTCGTAGCAATCGCGATTGGGAGCTTTCGCAAGCCCGCGAAAAAATCAGGGCACTCTCAGTCCCTTTACGCGAAAACCAATCAGAGCTAGAGCAGTCAGTTGCCAGAGTTTCTGCTCTGGTGAGACGTAACGAGGAATTAGCAAACTCGACTTTTGGCAATCTTAGCTCTTCTTCTCATTCCTCGTCTATGAATTTGCCTCATGTTAAGTTTTTATTGCCTATTTGTATGCTTTTGTGCACTGGGTTGAGCGAGGCAATTCCTACCTCAGCGTGGCGGTGTCCTCAGGGCCCAGCTGACGCGCCCGTTCGAATTCCTATGTCATATAACTGTTCACGTATAATACAGTGTATTGGAGAGACTCCTCGTGCACTCTCTATTCACGTTTATCGCCCTAATACCTGACGATACGATACACTCGCATTCCTGTGCAAGATTGTTACGCAGTCAGCAGCTTTGTCAATCTTTCTGGTGCGCGTTAAAAATCGCTCTGAGTCTCATACCATCGTATGGCATGGAGCGTGCAAGCTTATGATTCAGCATCACAGGTGCAAGTTTGGTGAGATGGTCCAATCTGATAACTTTGGCCTACTTCTAACTCCTTGGTTGTCGATTGGCCCTCCGCCCCATTCGGATGTTGCACAGAACATGCGAAGAACGTCTCTAATTGCTTCCTCGTCCGTACAGTAGTTCACATGTGTAACGGGTCACATTATCCGGACTCACAGGCTGGCAACCTTGCCCAGTGTGTCTATGAATCAGGTAACTCCGTGCTCAAAGACGATTCAATATTGCTGTGGACTCCGAACAAAGAAGAAGCATGTCGATTCATACCCGTCATGAAGATGGAAGGTCGTCGGTAGGGAGAGGTCTGGATCAGCGACTCCAAGGAATTTGCTCTGTCCTTGCGCGCGAGTGACCGTATCCAAGGCTGCGGTGCACAGCTGATCCTCTCCGATCAGGGCTACGCGATAGCTCCAGTCACCCTTTCCCCGTTCTACGAGTGCGGACGCCGGTATAATTACCTCTAACCAGCTGTCCGCACAGCGCTTAGCTCTGAAGGTATCAGTCGCGCCTGGAGTCTCAGCACTGTTTCACCATTCCTGTTCGCTTTATGCGACAGAACGAGTCTGCTGGCTTTCGCTCTTCATACGTCACTAGCAACTAGTCCCGCCCTAACAGTTCGCAATCTGTTAGCTCGTGAGGACATATCTGCTACGTTTCTCGGCAACAACCTCGTGCAGCTTCACCGCTACATGATGATTCCTTCACGCAATTTCCAGCTCGTCCCCTTCAATGGTACTTGCTTCACTAAGCCTCCAATCAAATCTCTCCCCCTAGCGGACCTGCTATTTTTTTTCTTTCTTGGATCCTTCTTTGGTGGTATCTCATGATGCGTCTTCTGCGCACTGTCCCTTCTATTTCCGTTTTCTCCTATACGCAACATAGGAATCCCAATTAGTGTTAATTCATCTGCCCTTTCTCTTCCGCTTACCATTTTTCATAATCTTATTTTGACAAATCTTAGTGGGCTCGTACAGGACGATCAGTGGCAGGAATTGTGGTCGTCGTCTTCATCAGATCATTTTTCGAGCGTAAGTGCAGCGGGTAGCCACATGACTTCGTATCTCTCGGTTGCAAAATTTTTGCCCTTTTCCATATGGTCTTCTATTTTTGGATCATGGTCTGTATTTGACCTTTGGGTCGCCATTTGCTCCGTCACTGTGTCCGCTCGTATCTTGAAAGCAATCTTTATTCTCTGTTGCAATGTGTATTATCCGGGGTGGCTGCCCCGTATTCAAGAACAGGTCAGTGATCCGCGGAGGGGCTTACAGCCGCGCAGACACCTCTCTCTAGAGCGCCGGCTAGCCCACTGTCGGTTCACTTGGCGGAACCAACTACGGATCCGGTGGAAGTGGCCTGCGTGAAGATCGACGCCACTTCGTCGTGGCCTCCCCGAGCAACGATGGCTCCAGTTAAAGTTCTTTATGCACGATCGGGATCGCTTCTTCGTAGCTCAAATCCCAAAACATGTCAACAACTTAGGTGTTCTGGCACTGGTGGATACAGGAGAATCTATTACCATCGCGACAGCGGAAACAGCCCCCTTGTTTGGAGCATTCAACCTCATCACAGGTGACGTCACTAGCTTCTTCTTCTTCTCCCTAGCGTTAGTCCCGCGCCGTCGCAGGGTCCGCAGGTGACGTCACTAGCGTGAATGGCATGGCAGGAGTATCAGTTCATCTCTTGCCACTCTGCCGTTAGAAATCGGATCTCTGACCTTCAGTCACGCGGTATTTTCACTAAGTCTGCCTGTATTCCGGACTCGGTCGAGACGTATAACATCATTCTCGGTAATGACCTTTTGCGCAGGCTGACTCCTTGGTCTATTGATTATGGCAGCAGCACTCTGGTTATAGCGGATCAGCGTGAGAATATTATGCGCGTCCTCTAAAGAGGCGCCGCCTTCGTCAGATCAAGTGAGCTCGGTAAGCGTTGCGGAGATTACCGTACTCTCCCCATCAGCTGAGACTTTCATGGAATGCACAGCCGAGGGCGATGACTCAAGCACGCTGATGTTGGTATCTCACCACGAGAAACTTTCGGAAAAATTGATCCTGGTTACTCCCGCCGTGATCAGCTTGGATAAAGCGCTACTCTTGGTCAGCAATCTTCACTTCTACCAGAAACCCTTTATAGGGGGCAGTGTATCTGCTCCGCTGTGGCTCTTTCTCAAGGAAAATCTACGCTTCTTTCTATGCCGTTTTCGTCATCGACCCCTTTTATAGGAAATGTGCCACCGAGGGCTGACCGCCCTGAAATCAGGAACAGTACTCTCAGCATCGATATTTCGCATGCAGAGGTATCCGACGAAGAGAGTGAGCAATTAGCCCAACTCTTTTACGAATTCAGAGATAGAATTTCAACAGAACCTTACGTTCTAGATTCATATGAAGGGTCGGAAATTGTCATCAAGACTACGACAGAAACACCACCCAGCCGTCCGGGATAGTGACCTCGCCCGCTCAGCGAGGTCACTATCCCGGACCATCCATTACCGCGGATTGAGGACATCCTTGCCAAGATCTCAGGTTACAAGTTTTACACCACGCATGACCTGGCGTCTGGATATATGCAGCTCCTTCCCTCGCTGGAGAGTCAGGAAAAGTGTGGCTGGGCGACACATCGCGGTATTTCGTGTACCTCCCTTTTGGACTCAAAGTGCAGGTGTCTATTTCTCTAGAGCGATGTCGCGCATTCTAGCCGGTCTCAAAGCTAACTGCTTGGCTTATCTGGATGACATTGTCATCTTCAACAGGGATTTCCCCCACATCTGGAGTCCTTGAGAAAGGTTTTCTATAGGTTTCGCCTTCATATTATCAAGGGGTCTGGTAAAAAGCTCACGGAGATTGCACGCTCACACATGAACTTTTTAGGCCACGAGATCTCCGGTAGCTTCTATTCTTCAGCCGATAGGAATATACGTGCCATACAGGACTACCCCACTCCTACGACGACGGAGGCTGTGAAAGGATTTGTAGGTATGGTTGATTACTTTCGGAATTTTATAGCTAATTTTGCCTTAGTCGCTTCGCCATTATACGCTTTGTTGAAAGATAAAGCCAAGCTCATTTGGGGCACAGAATAAGACGAAGTCTTTCAGCGTTTCAAACGCCTTCTCCTTTCGAAACCGTGTCTGACGTTTCCACAAGACAAGGAGTTTTCCTTCACACTGACGGTAATCAGTAGGCAGTGGGTGCCGCGTATTCCAGAACAATTCCGACGACGATCGTCAGCTTGTCGCCGTTGGATACTTCAGCAAGTCGTTGTCTGATTCTCAGCAGAAATGGAGTCCTACGCATATCGAGTTGTTTGCAATCATTAGTGCCTTGCGATTCTTTCGGGCGACCATCTACGGGAACCACACCACCGTATTCTCGAACCATCGTCCGCTTACAGTTCCGCTAGCGCACAACAAGACCCACGACAACCTGACTAAATGGTCGTGGAGCTTCAGAGCTACAACGTTAGCATTGAATACCTGAAGGACTCCTCTAACGTTGTTGCGGTTAGCATTAACACTGTATCCGCGGTGGTTTATTCCATTCGACCAACTCTTTGTTCTCTCGGCTCGCCATTCGACCATACGACGCTCTCCAGGAACAAACGAAAGACGAATTCTGTTCGGCGATCATGTCTTTCATCGAGACACAGCGCTTTCCTCTCTCGCTGAGTGATGGGCAAAAGACAGCCTGGCTGTCTATGCCGAAAAGTGCGTCATCAGAAAGAAGCCGTCTCTATTTCAATAAACAGCGAACAGAAGGCGCCCCCGCCTTCTGTTCGCTGCTCATTCAGTTTGAACGGCTACTCGTGCCCGGAAAGCTGAGGGAACCCATATTTTTAGCGCTTCACACTAACCCATCTTCTGGAAGTCATTTCAATTGGAGAAAAACGCTCGCGAGAACCTCACGTAAGTATTTTTGCCGCACATGGCTGAGGATATTTTCGCTCTGGTGCGAGCCTGCGATGACTGTCAGAGAAAGCGTCCGAATTCCATGAATCAGGAACAGCTCATTCCAGTAGTCAGTGAAGCGATCTTCGACAAGGTATACGTAGACCTTACAGAAGGCCAGAAGTGATGACGGAAATAGGGGGCTACCTACGGATTCACAGGTATTTCTGCATTCCGTATCATCATGAGGGAAATGGGACGTGTGAGCGTATTTTCGCTACATTTCATCCTATGTTGCGAACGTATATATATAAATGCCCAATTGGACTGGGACAAGTTTGCCACCGCGTGCGCGTTTATGTGTAACACCTCAGTCCACACCAGCACCAATAACACACCCTTTTCTTCATGATTGGTCGCTACCCAGTAGTTAATATAGACTAATCAAACACGAATTAGAGCATCACTTTCCATCTTTAGAAGAGAGCTTTACGTCCAGAATCTAGTTGCCTCCCTGCACGCCTGGCGTTCAGCAGCGCAGTACAACGAGCGCCAGCGTCACAGGCATAAGACTCAGTACGATCGTTCGCATCTCGCTCCTCTTTCTATCAAGGAAGTAGATCGAGTTTACCTTCGGGATTTGGCACAAAGTGGAGCTGTCGCAGAAACTCTGTTACCCCTGGTTGGGACAGTTTCGAGTAATCAAGGTAGAACCCCCTCATCTAACCATTGTCACCCGCACCACAATCTGCACCTAGAAAGGTTCACATGAATCGAGTGAACGATGCCACCTTTCTATCTGGCCCAGTTTTCACCACAACTTGGTTGCCAGAATCAGTGCCGTTCGTTGAGCTGCAGCATCTCCAGGACACCATCGCCTTCCGAGCCCGAACCAAGCTCGTGATCGACCAGCTGTTGAACGGCTCATACCTGGATTAGGATGTCTCCGGCCTGGCCAAGACCGACCAACATAAGTACGTGATCGCACCCCCAGTATTTGATGGCTGCCGACTTGCTCTCTACCAGGTGGTCACCCCAGGATGGGGTACCCTAGTGGTCCTCGAGGCCAAGGATTTCTCTACGGTCGGGCCGGACAGGCACGACCTCCATTGTATGACACTGGACCAGTTCTCCGTCAAAGTAATGTCTGAACGTCGGGGCTTCAATAAGTCACTGGTATCGGCTAAGGACTTCGTGTGGGTACACAACGTTAAGCCCTCCCGCCAAACACTTCAGCACCCCAAGGCCACTCTTCAGAAAGCCTCCGTCCCACGGACGACAGCTCTCGAGACCACCTCTGTCTTCTTTTTTAGGGTCTCCCACTTCGTCTTCGTCACACCCGAGGACCGCGAGGAGGACATCTACGGCATGGTCTTATCCCTCACCATCCGTTACAACCACGTTCTCAATGGTCGCGCTGTTTTTGAAGGTTGCCCTGATGCGGTTACAGTTACACCATTCGTTTGCTCTTTTTACCTTGACAATCTCACACAATACAGATCGTCAAGGCGCGCGCTCGCAAAACGTTTCATCAGCAATGCGATTTTCAGAGCCCCAGCATCACTGCACGCTCGCGAGCAGCTAGCTAACATTGTTCGGTGCTTCCTCCCTATGCATCCCGAAGAGGGAATTCTCCTTCTGACGGTGTCTAAGATCTCTCAAGCAGAAAAAGATTGGTTTGAGGACCGCCTCTGTTCGTTTACTAATTTTTTTCAAGGATCCGGTTGGATCGAAACAAATATTAGCAAAGAACTGCAACATGGCCTGTTCGGCACTTGCTGCAGTCAACGCGGCAGGCAATGACCGACGCACGCACTGGGTGCCCGCAACTGTAGTGACCCCCCCTATGGTACCCTCTCCGCCTACAGTATCCCCTACAGGTACGACGAGCGAAGGTGGAAGGCGCCTGGAAGGCACGTTGTGCTCTAAATACCGCGTTTC